AGAGAGAGAGAGAGAGAGAGAGAGAGAGAGAGAGAGAGACAGACAGACAGAGAGACAGAGAGAGAGACAGAGAGATAGATAGATAGATAGATAGATAGATAGATAGATAGATAGATAGATAGATAGATAACTGTAAGATGTCAAGTAAGAAAACCATAGAAATGGAGTCATCATCCCCACCCTGGAGTTGCAGTTTGTGCATACCTGGCTTGTTACTGTCACCATGACTTGCTCGATGGCTTCCATCATCTCATCATGGGAAATAAGGTCCTGCACGGGGTGCCAGCTGTAGCACAAAACCTCTTTCTTCGTCCCACACAGCGACGCAATCAGAGATAAGGGATTCTGCACGAGACGGCCCACTGCAGTTGCTCGGCGCACCATGGCTGTTGCATAACATTCAAAGTTTTTCAAACCGTTACTTCCGTTGAACTTATGCTCTTCAACTTATGCTCTCCACAAACTGAAATCCAAGCCTGGAATAGCACTAAAGTGCAGAAAAGGATATATCTTCACCTATTCGAAGGGCTATATGTTCTTTAAACTTCTTTTCTATTCATTAAATTAAAGCCCACTGTCTCCTCATTCTGAGGTGGATTTCCCTTGTGCGCCAAAGAAAAAGCAAACCAGCACCATAGCGTTTTCTTTTCTTTTTGCCTGCTGCAACCAGCCATTGAGGTCCGTTAGCACTGCACATCTGAAAAAAATTGCCGTTGTTACGGCATTGTATACAAATCCGGCGAAACTTTGCCTGTGAACGGTAGTGGTGGTTTGGTAGCGCATCTTCTCTAGAATTTGAACTCCAAGGTTGACCATCGATGTTCACATTGCACTTGTCAGAAATGCCGAACCCATTTTGCAAGTGGGACCTTTCCGCAGGAGACTCATTCTATGAGTATGGAGTCTATGGGTGCAGCACAAGTGCGAATTGAATTGAATTACATTGAGTTATATAATGTATCGGACGATGCGGAACGATTTGTGAATATCAAAACTTAAAAACTCTCAAACTCAGGCACACTGCCAAAATACGTGGAGTATTCATGGTTGTGTTTGGCATCATGTGTTCATTATACTTCATTACGTTAGAGTGAGAAAAGGGCATTCAAAAGAGCATCAAATGGATGTTAAAAAAAAAGAAAAAAGGGAAAAAAAAGACTCGAGGATCTGCTAAACTCCTCCGCCTTCTTCGCCCTAAACTTGCGCCGATACTCCCCACACCGTCACTGCGAGAGTAAAGCCTCACATTTTGTGCTATTCTATATGAATGACTTCTTCTTCTTCTTCTTCTTCTTCTTCTTCTTCTTCTTCTTCTTCTTCTTCTTTTCTAGACCCGTGCCACTTCTATTTGAGTTGCAACTTCTTCTTCTTCTTCTTCTTCTTTTCTAGACCCGTGTCACTTCTATTTGAGTTGCAATGGATGACATTGTTTCGCATTTGAGTTTTGGATCATGAAATGTGCAGGATCAAAGCACTACTCTGAATTAATGTGATGCCAGTGTCCCTGAAGGAGTGGAGACACTCACGTAGATGCGCAGACAATAGCTGTTTGGCCACTGATGAGTTCTCAAACAAGAAACCAAGAGCTTCATCAGCATAAACAACAGGAATATCCTGAGCATCCTCAAGCCCGCGAGGTTGTTCCTCGACAATTTTGAATATAACCTGCAGCAACCAGAGATTAAGAATGGGGAAAACCATGAAGCCATGTGAGGTTCTTAATAAAATCAAATTGAGCCAGTATGAAACATGGTAACCGCCCGGACGTCCGGACCGGGTTCCAGACAGTCCGGTGTCCGGTGTCTGGTGTCCGGCTGTCTCTTATACACATCTAGATGTGTATAAGAGACAGATGTAGACCAGAGGCAGCGCCACATCATCATGCAAT